AGTCCACTTTCGGCAATAAGGACATTGAGAATCCATTGTTGACCAGAAATAATTGATAGCTGCCTACACACTCTCAACAAAATTGTTGCTATTTTACAGTTGGAAAACACACATTTTGAGAAAGATTTCAATTATGTACCATATAATGCCTTGGTCAGCAATGGACTGCATACACAGTGGTGGTCCCATAAGACTATCCCACAAGCAACATCATAACCATCTTAGTTTGTGCAAGCAGCTCTATGATATTTGCACAATGGCAAAATCAGCCAGCTCTGTGGTTCTTAAAGCATGACCCTGTCATTAATGACACATGGTACTCATTGAAAGAATGATTATTTTAGGAGGGGACAGCTTATTTTATGGTACTGGGGATTGAACCCAGGGCCTTATCACTGAGCTATACCCTCAGCCTTGTTAATTTTGTTTTCAATTTTGAGATAGGGTCTTAATCTCTAAATTGCCTGGGTTAGGTTCTAACTTTTGATCCTCCTGCCTCACTTTTCCATAGTACTGACATTGCAGGCATGTGCCACCATGCCCAGTTTAAGAAATTCATTTTGATAGGAAAATCTAGATGGTGACCTGATTCTGCAAACAGTGGGCCTGTGTGTATAGGATAAGGTTGCAGATAGATATCAGGCTCAGGGAGGCTCATGTATTCATCCTTGCCGTAATTCATCCGGAAAATATTTCCTAAGCACCTCCTGTCCACCAGGCCCAGTAGCAGGAGAAACAAGTAAACAGGTGGTCCCCATATTAGGGTGATCAGGCTAGATAACATTAAGTTGGGGTCCAGTGAGAGCTCCATGAGGGTGGGGGAAGATCTCAGAGGAAGCAACTTTGAAACTGAAACTCCAAAGTCTGACAGATGAACAGGAGTTGGTTGGGTGAAGACAGAAGCCAGATAGGGCTGCAGGCCTGAGGGGCAGACCCTAGGAACATCCAGCCTCCTGTATAATTAGATCTGTGCAGTTCTTGTATGAGAAGTTGAAGTAATAATTTTGTGATCCCCTCAAGTCTTCTATCCCAGCTACTATCCCAGATATCCCTTCCCCACTTCACATTTACCCTAGGCCTTGAGGTTTTTCCCCCAAGTTTCTATCGGTGGGGGAGGGACTTGGGGTACACTAGAGCAAGGCCCTAGCAACTGACTGAGAGGCAAGAGATGGAGGACCTCCAGCAACGTGCAGATCCAGATTGTTAACACTGCCATTATTTACTGACCCCCCCCCACTCCCGCAGATAAGGGGTATAAGGGGAACTGATGGGTGAGCACATTTCAACTCATTCAGCAATGGCATTTTGCAAAGCTCAGAATGTTTCCTGCATCTCTGAGGAGTTTCACACGCCCTGTGCTTGAGCATTCGCCTGTGGCTCCTGCGATGCTCCTTGATTTGAAGAGCCTCGAGCCCACTCTTTGCCCACACTAATAAGTAGGTTGACTGAGCAGGGAGGATGGGCCTCTGCCTTCGCTCTAGTCATTAACTGGCTTCTTGGCTCATCCTCAGGGACAGGGACTTGCCCTTTGAACCATTAATTCATGAGCCAATTTTTATTCTCCAAGCATTGCTGAGACACTCAGTACCGGCCTCTGCAGCAGCAGAGGCCACAGCACCAGCACTACAGGCACAGACCCCCTTGGCTGCTGACTCAGAGGTGGAGTGGGGCTCCCTGCTGGCAGGTTGAACACCAAGAGGGGAGAATGCTGAGCGAAGAGAGAAGGAGCCTTTCTGGGAGGTGGAAAGGTGCATATGGAAGCAGAGTTCACATTTCCTTTATCTGGCTATTGTTGGGGACAGTACTGTACTTGATGGGGGATGAGGAGCTCTCAAGCCTGTGGTTAATGGTTCTGCAGAGAAGCGACCAGCTTTGTCTGAGGGATGTTGTATCAGATGATGTGGAAGGGAGCTTTTGGTCAGAGGCTTCCTTTCCCTTTGCTCCTGAGGTACTGCATACTGTCCCCCTCTACCTGCACCCTGGCCTGACCTGCACCCCATTGGACCTCAGATTTGATCCAGAGATGTGGAGACCCTAACAGGGCACCAAAAGCCTTCTGTGTTGGGAAGGCAGGCTGGGGATAGGTGGATAACTCGAAATAGCTTGAAGCAGTGACCTGCCCCCATACACCTAGCACTCCAGCCATACAGCCATAGCCACTTCAGGCTGCAGTCCTCCAAGAAAGGAACTGGTGACAACAGGGATGGATGAGACTCCTGGTAGAGATAAAAGAATGAACAGCAGTGCCATGAATTTAGCGGAAAGGACCTGACCTCCACTTTGGAGAAATCCTATACTCCAGTGCTGTTCTCTGCAGGTGTCTGTGGGCACATGCAGAAGGGGAGAAAGGGGACTCTGGGGGAATCACTTTTGCCAGGAAATAAAATACAAGGAGAGGCATAGTCCTCACAGGTCCCATGGGGAAAACAGAGCCTGGAATTGGCCTTCAACTGTACTCCCAACTTTAGTGCACTATTAAACTAATTATTTAATTTCGCTGTGTAGTTTCTCCCTTAACAAAATGGACATACTTCTAGGACCCTGTGGCAGGGGCATTCTGAGGACTGAATGAGGTAGTACACGGGGAATTCACAGCAGAAAGCCTGCGTTTGAGCTCTTGCCATCTGTGGGAGGACAGGGGCCTATTCGAGGCACCTCACCCTGACATGGTCCCCTCCTCACATCTGAGGAGGGTTCTGGGGAGTTAGCAGTCCTAGATCAGGGCCAGGCAGGGGACGGAGTGAGGTTTCCCAGGAAGTGATGTGAGCCGACACCTGCGCTGAAGGTGTGTGTAAGGAGCAGGTGGAGGAGACGTGCATAAGTTTGCCCTCTCTTCCTTGGGGGTTTGGGGGTTAAGCAAAGCAGACAAGGAGGAAGGGAAGCTTCCATTTCTGGGAGGGAAGACAGATGCATCCATCATGAGGAAGCAGTCAGACACTGGATAATCCTAACCTTCAGGAAGCCTGAAGATGCCACAGAGCATATGTTGGCTTCTGCTGGGTTGCATACAATTCACCTTGGATGGATAGCCATTGGTGCCTTCACTGCTATCGCTGTCCTTTTCTGCTTTGATCCCACCTCAGCTTCCCTTCAGCTTTTTCTCATACTTCCCAGAATGGCCACAGTGAAGGAAAGGTCAGAACCTTGTAGAAGAAGCATTTGTCCTGCAGATCTTTACTGGGATGCATGCAAGTGCCAGCGAGAGGTGTCCTGCTGCTGTTGCTACCTTTTCTGACATCTCTGGTGCCTTTAGACTCTACCTCTCCAAGAAAGCTGGTACCTTGTCTCTTTCAATCATGACTTCAACCCTAGCCTTCAGCAAAGTGCTGGCATGCAGTGGACATTTGGCAAATGACCTGGTTGGATGTGTGAATGAATGCACACATGTGTGAATGTGAATGAATATTTTACTGGAGCCATGGTGTTTTCTGAGGTGAATCAAGGAGCACTCAACACATGAAGAACCAAACCCTTCAGCTGGACCAAGTCCTTTCAGCCTGTCTGGGGCCAGCCTGCCCCCCAGCTCTGCCCTAAAGAGATTTCTTCCTAGCCTACTTGGTCATCTTGTGGTTTCTAAAGGGTACCCTTCCCTGAGGAGACCTCTTTTGGAGACAGTGCAGTGTGCCATGCCAAAGAGAAAGGCCTATCAGTCACTCTCCACAAGGTTATTTGCACGGCATCCTTCTTTCCCTCCCTTCTTCCTGACTCAGAGCAATTCCTAGTTCTGTGCATTTAACACATTTTGATTGTCTGTAAATATCAGAGTTGTTCATTTGTTAAAGCTACTTTCTTGTAATGAGATATTATTTGCTTATTTCTAAACCCATGATGTGCTGGGCCACCTCTCTTTCTTGCTTGGGACTTTGTGTTGGTACTTTGGGGAGAGCAGAAGAGGACAAGATGACCATAGGACAAAAGTCCACACAGCTGAGACAGGTGAAATCAAGAATCTGAGTTGTCCCAGGCCTGCCCAGTGAAACTGAGAATTATTAAATTATTATTGAGCCCAACCAGACTCCAGCACTGCACAGATCTCTGAGTTAGACATGGTGCCTGCCTTCTCCATGGTAACCAGGCTAAATATGGATGCGTTTCCATGGAGAGCCATATCGCAGCTGCAGCCCTGCTTCCTCCAGGAAGCACACGTGCTAGATTCCTTTGGCCTCTCAGGAGGTGGCCAGGGGCTTTCGGGAGATTCCTCGGACATCAAGAAGATAGTTCTCACCTTTGAGGATTTTGTTTCCAACAAACATTCCATTTCTCCACCCAGCCATAGACTCATCAACATCCCCTCTTGTTAGTAGGTAGATGTTCAAGGAGGGCACAAGCCACACAGATGAGCTGATTGGGAAAGTAGCACTGGACCTGATGGCCATTCGGACAAGCCATGCCATCTTCATCGTGCTCCAGGAAATGGATTTTCCTGTTATCAGGAGGAAAGAGGATGTCATTGGTCAGAGGGAAGCAGCCAGGAAACTGTTAACAACCCTTGTGTAAATGCACTGCTCTTGTACTCAGCAGACCGCTTTTGGAAGAATTGCTACAGTTTTTGAAATGCTTTCAGAAAATTTCCATAATTTTAAAATAATTTCATAATTATTGCTACACAGAGAGTTTTAATGCTCCCTTCCATATTCATAGAACATTCAAATGTGACAAGGTTTTATTTTCCCTTAAGGGAAAGTAAATTTTTATTCCTTATTTGAATTCGAATGAGTCAAATCTTTGCATATCTTAACATCTGACATAGCAATGTGGAATGAAACTTTGTTTCTGTTGAAAGCTAAACATATAAGCTGAGTATTAGGTTTAAAAATACCCTGTTTAACATCATTTGGCTACTTAGAGATTACATCATCTGTGTTTATAGCTTAATCCTGTTAAATTGGGGCTCTCCAAGCACAGCTGATTACATGGGTATGTTTGTGTATATTAGGAAATATCTATAACGTATATATTATTTCCTTCTTAAGATTGATACTGTGTGTTCTGCATTTCAGGCCAAGTGGCACCAGAGCCGAGTGATGGATGATCTGCAGTCCCAGAATCTCTCCATGGACATGACTGACTCCCCTCCTACCTTGGCCAATAACAGACTGGAGAACGGCATGGCCCAGCTGATCACCACTGAGGCCTGGAACATCAATTCCACCGACCTGGTCAAAAAGGCCCTGGTGACCGTGCCAGCCCCATCCATCCTGAATCCCCCTGCAGAGTCCCAGAGCGGCATGGCTTTGAAAGTGGCAGCCACTGTGCTGCAGCCCCTGTGTCTCGGGGAGAGTCCAGTGGTGATGCCCATTCACATGCAAGTGGAAGGGAGCTCTGCACCAGAGCTCAACCCCAATGGTAATACCACCTACGTCATGACCACGCAGGGCCCTGTGCAGCTGCCCGTGGTGCTGGAGCAGCACGTTTTCCAGCACCTCAACTCTCCTCTGGTCCTGCCACAGGAAGCACCATGCTCCTCCAATGCCATCCACAATAACCTCTTCCAGGGGGCCGAGGACTCTGAGGCCCAGCCCCAGCTCCTGGACCTGCGGATCCCCAGCCAGCCACAGGAGCCCACATTGCCGTTTGAAGCTGTGCTCCAGAATTTGTTTCCCTCCCAGGGCTCTCTTGGCCCCCCACCTTGTCAGCCTCCTCCTAGCTATGCCCCGGTGCCACCACAGCCCTTCAACTCCCCCTTGTCTCCCCTGGTCCCGCCAGCCACCCTCTTGGTGCCCTACCCTGTGATTGTTCCCTTGCCAGTGCCAGTCCCAATTCCCATCCCCATCCCAGTGCCTCAAAGTTCTGAATCCAAATTCAGTCCCAGTTTCCCCAAGCCACCATCTTCCTTCAGCCTGCACTCTTTTAAAGGCACACAGACCCCTCTGGAAAAGGATGAACTAAAGCCCTTAGACATCCTCCAACCGAAGGAGTACTTCCAGCTCAGCCGCCACACAGTCATCAAGATGGGGAGTGAGAACGAGGCTCTGGATCTCTCCATGAAGTCGGTCCCCTGGCTTAAGGCTGGTGAGGTCAGTCCACCAATCTTCCAGGAGGATGCAGCCCTAGACTTGTCACTGGCAGCCCACCGGAAGTCTGAGCCTCCTCCTGAGACACTATATGGCAACAGTGGGTCAGAGGGCAGCCCAGGTCAGACCGTGATAGAGAAAGTTCCCAGTGGCACGGAAGTGCCCTTTACTCCTGCCACATCCCGCGAGGCCTCAACCACGATGGATAGCCACATGGGTGGCAGTAATCCTGCTGAGATGGTCAGCCAGGCCAGCCAGCCCAGCAGTGAGGTCAAGGCTGAGAATAACACTGAGATTGGGAGCGAGTCCCAGGCAGCTAAGGTCATCGTTTCAGTTGAAGACGCTGTGCCTGCCATCTTCTGTGGAAAGATCAAAGGCCTCTCGGGAGTATCTACCAAAAACTTCTCCTTCAAAAGAGAAGACTCTGTGCTTCAGGGCTATGACATCAACAACCAAGGAGAAGACTCCATGGGAAACGTGGAGCCCCTTAGGAAACCCATCAAAAGCCGGAGCATAAAGTTAAAGAAAGTGAACTCGCAGGAAATACATATGCTCCCGATAAAAAAACAACGGCTGGCCACCTTTTTTCCAAGAAAGTAAATAATGGCTTTTTAAAATTTTTATGATTATAACATGGGGAAAGGTGCATTGGTTTTTTAAAAAGGCATTTAAAACAAATTATCTTTGTTAATTATTTGGGGGTGTAGGTGGGAAATGGAAAGGTGAATCGGCTCTAGAGGCCCTGTAAGCTAGTATCATTTTCTTTTTTAATTTTTGACTTTTCACAAAGGAATAAATAAGAGCAACCTATTTTTCAAGCAGATTGCACATTTTTTGCAGCTTTAATGGAATATTGGGTGAATCAGAGGGGTAAAAAAGCTATTTTCATTGCCACAAAGTGCTTTGATGATGTAATACCTAATAAAGGGTAGGATGACTATTTCACAATAAATGTTTGTTTGCACTAATTAGTTGCAGTATTCTGTTATTTATAAAATGTGCATTCTTTAACTGGCATGATTGGGCCAAAACTCTTGCTTTGTACAGAGTTATAAGTTATCTGTGTCTAGAGACCTCAGCTCTTCAGGTATAATGAGAAATACTGTCCTATCCCCCCTTAAATGTGGACTAAGAATATGTATAACCTGGAGTAAGTTACTTCTCCTTCTAGGCTTTAGGGGTGAGTATAAGAATGTGACAGAAAGAAGGACCAGGGAGGTGAGTTTCAAGCCCTCAACGTCCCTTCCGCAGTTCACACAGTTCTTAAATGTGTCTAACTCTATGCTGGGACCTTCTGTATACTTAAAACAAATGTGTCTGAAAAACAAAGGAACTTGCTTCCTTCCTTCCCTACTCCAGAGTTTAGCTGGGAAGGGCCTTCTTTTCGAGGGCAATAAGAGCATTGTTTCCAATGACTGAAAGTCTTGCAAGTCAACAGTCTGACTGCAGGCCACTCAGAATAAGAGGAAAATTGGTAGCTGATATTTATATTTAGATATAAATATTCCCAGCCTTGAAGATGGGATCAGGAAAAGAATAAACTCATTTTCTGTTACTGTAACTCAGTGGTTCTCAAAAGAGGGTGGTTGTGTCCCTCCCCAGCATCTGGCATTGCCTGGAGACAGTTTTAGTTGTCACAACTGGAGAAAGAGTCCTACTGGCATCTACTGGGTAGGGATCAGGGGTGCTGTTACACCCTACAATGCACAAGACAGCCTCTCAAAACAAAATATGATCTGACCAGAAATGTCAGTAGTACTGAGGCCAAGAAGCCCTGTTTGAAAGCTATCTCTTGACGGATGGCAGCGATGCACTTGGAAGGAGAGAACAGTGTTGCTTTTCCCTGACAACATAAAGCCACCCACACAAATGAGGCACTGTGAGCGTGCGTTTAAAATAGACCTGCTAGGTGGCACATCACACTTGTGTCTGAAACTGTGCTGGTGAGAGACTGATTAGTGCATGCCTGCTTTACACTTTAAGCGCTTTCTTTCACTTCTTGCAATTAGTATGTATCCAGCTGTTACTGTGAACACGAACAGGAGGAAAAGCAGTTGCAGACTGTTCTTTTATTACCAGACCCTCTGTGTATAGGGTTACAATTTTAGCTGGTCTGTATCACACACCCAGAGTGGATTTTTCTCTTTTATGCTTTTTTTCTGTGTTGTTAACATTTATTTTTCAGAGTGTGACCATTTTCTTTTTCAAAGTGCAACCAAACGGCAGTTTCATGTCAGGCTAACTAATCTCATTCTCCAGCATCAGCCTGACTCCATCTTTTCAGCTTCTACATGGTACAGCTTTTTTTTTTTTTTTTTTTTTCATTTTTATTCCCAGTGTGGGTTTCTGGCCATGCTTCCTGAGTGTGGCGCATGCATTCTAGTTTCAAATCAAACACAAATGTGCCTAGAGACTAGCGTTTCCTGTCTGCCTGTTGTCTTTTCGCGTGCTTGCAGTAGTGTCTGCTGCCACGCTGTGCTGGACAGCCTTTCTATCCCAGCCAGTGGGGCCTATGTCTTCACAATGGATTGGGATTGCTTATATGGATTTAGGGAACAAAACTTGCAATTTGCCCTTTAGAATCAAGTGCTTAAAGCTGAGTGACATGCAAGCGGAAAGGAAAGTATTTGCAACCTGTAATTACCTTATAAACCTCAAACCACAAATTTCTCTTTGTTGTATCGGGGATGCCCTTCTCTCTGCAGATGGCAGCTCTAGTTAGGTGAGAAAAGCTGGCTCCACAGGCAGTCTTGGGTGTTGAGGCCCTGTGGGCCGACCCCAAGCCTGGGTGGATTTCTGGACTAGGCCTCCCCACCTACCCAAGCCATGCCTTTTGACATGTGTGAAGGCTTCATCCGGAGTATCGCGTTATAGCTGGGGATTTTGCTGCTGAGGCAACAACACCCTCTGCCTGCCCCCTTCCTGCTTTTGATGGAAACTGGAATCCAGTCTCTTGGCTACATGCAAGCCAGGGAATCAGCAGAGAGGAAAGGCTCCGTTGCTGTGGTCAAAGGGAGCCTGGAGTCTGTGGTGCTTTAATTCCATACTTGTTCCGTAGGCAGAAGTTTGTAGCCCGTTTACATTACCTTTCAGAGCTAGCAGCCTGGAACTGTGCTTCCTGGTCTGAGTGAAATGATCCCCAAGGAGTGCACCAAGCAAAACCCTCAAGTCTTGTCATTTTTCTACTTGATTCTGCAAACCTTGGTCACTTACCCCTCACCCCTCACAACTGTCTCCAGGAAACACCCTTTTAGCTTTCAGACATGTAAGATTTCCATCAAGCTTTTTTTTTGTAAATTAATTTCTCATTTATCCTTCAGATATTTGGGGCCAACTAAGCTAAGATCAGCCTTTCAGTTTTTTTTTTTTTTAAACAAATATGATTAGTCCTTAAGAATGTTGATATTTGCTTAGTCTTGTCAAGATGGTTTCAGTCAGCTTCAGGTCAGAATGATAAAAATGGGAACAAATCACTAAGATACATATTTGGGGCTAGTGATCCGGTACAGTCAAAAGTAGTTGATCCAGAAGGGAAAAGGATTTAAAGAATATACACTTTCCATCCTAAACAGGGAAATCCTTGCCAATGATTAGAAAATTCTAAAGTATAGTCAAAGGTTGGTTTAGAGTCAAAGGTAAAACTGTCACACTTTTAGTATGAGAAAAATGTCTGCAATGGTGAAAGTGCCAAACAAAACAGATAGAAGAAGAAGGAAAAAGAAAGGATAGGGAGGAAGAGGAAGAGGGATACAAGGAGAGAGAGAGGCACCAATCCAATTACTGAGAGAATTCAGTATGCTCATTATCTTCATAAAGAGCATAATTAATAAAACAGAGCAGGAAAGGATTTAGATTCTGTTTTATAAGGGAGGAAATTGAAGCTCAAAAGAGTTTTCTGCTTTCAGTTTTTAAGCATCAACAACTCAAAAATATGTACTTTGTGATATTCTTAAATATTGGGTCTGAAACCCAATGAACCCACAGGAATTTGGAGCCTTTGGGGACAAAAACCAATATGAATTAGTGAAGAGTCTGAATTATAGATTTTTTTCAGTTATTTTGAAAACCATTCCAGTTAACTGGAACGCCGGGAACACTTGGCACAATAGTAAAAGGGAGATTTCAAGCCGAAGGGTGGAGATGCCAAGCCTTGAAAAGCCACACTTAAAAGCTGCTAAGCTGAAAACTTTAACAGCAGGAAAAAAAGTGTTAGAGGTCATTGTGGCAGACTTTACTCCTCATTAAATAAAAAAGGCAGTTTTCCACAACAGCTCTTCCACCACGTCAAATAACTGACCCCCCCCCCATCAGAGAGGCAAAGTAGGCTGTATCCCAGGCTCTTCTAATAACTTGATCATTTATTCTAATTAATATATTAGTGCATACTAAGTAGTACACCTGAATGTATGGGAGAATTAATTTGAAAATATTGCAGACAGCCCACTTGCAATTATTAGGAGACCAGAGGAATTCTAAACCAAGTGAGGTTTTTAGCTATGCCCTGCTAGATTATGGACAAATCCAAGTTAAAGGAAATGAACTGCTAAGGTTTACTCAATTAACTTATAGGTTACTTTCCTTTCAACTGTAACCTGTATATAAATTCTGATAAAACTGTAGCCTCACTCTGCTGGAAAGATGGATATGACAACCTGGAAATAGTCCTTCTTCTGCTAAACAGTGATTTGAATCTGAGATTTGGTAAGCCAAGCAATGAATAAGAATGTAATCAGCCCTTATTACATTGATGATACTGAGCTCAGTCCCAAATCATTTGGACAAGGTGGTTTATTTATGGTTACTTCTGATAAAGAATTTGAAGATTTTCTTAAATGTAGACATTTTTATTAGGACACATTCCAAGCAGCATTAAGAAATACCACAGTGAACAGAGTGAAGTCTTTCAGAGCAGGGACTCGATTTTTTTTTTTTTTTTTTTTTTTTTTATCTCCAGGTTTCTAACTTTGGCACTATTGACATTTGGGGTTGGATGATTCTCTGTTTGAGGGACTGTCTCGTGCATTACAGAATGTTCAGCAGCATCTTCGGTCTTTTCCCACAAGATGACAAAAATTTCTCCAGACACTGCCAAGTGTCCCTTAGAGGGGAGGACAAAGTCACCCCTGATGGAGAACCACTGCTTTATCTCCAGGGCCTGACATCTGCCCTATACTGAGGGCTCAAAAAGTCCTTAATGAATGAATGTAGTAAACCAATCAGGAAGAAGATCTGTGTTCTCTGATATCCTAGTCATATTTCCTAGTCATATTAAAACTTCTATGATGTTGATCTGACCAGGACCTGTTACTTGGTACCACTGTCCACCTATTCAAAGGGCTATTTATCCACCATGTTATGGGCCTGCTAGAAGCTTTTCCCCAGAAAAGGAGGTTCAGCGTGCCTCCCTCACCTCACCGAAAGGGCAGGCACTCTGCCAGTCCTGACAGGATGCCTCATTATTTTAGTAGCACCCTGAAACTGGAAGGGCCCATTATTCAAAACTCACCCTGTGATGACTGCTCATTGGTCTGACTTCCAAGGGCAGCATAACCCAGGAATTTTCAAACATTGCCAGGAAATTGGGTATTTTAATTCCCTCATGTTTTTACCTAAATGCTTTCTTGCTGTAATTGAGCCCAGTGCTTTGTCTTTAGTGGCAACAAAAGCCAAGTCCACTATTTTAGTAGTTCTCAATTTAAGCGCCAGATCTTTTTGCAGCCTCCTTCCTTTGGGCTCCAGAGTCCTCTATGTGCTCTCACTTCCTTGGCGTTCCTATTTACAACCCTTCCATCATCTCGGTTGCTCTTTCCCCAATTTCTCCATCTACTTTGTAGAGTCCAGGTAGGTGAAGAAAATGTTCTAAAAGTTGATTGTGGTGATGATTGTACAACTCTGTGAATATACTTTTAAAAGCTTTGAATTGTACATTTTAAAATGGGTGAATTGTATGATATGTGAATTATATCTC